CAGCACGGCTACTAGCCGCAGAGCGTGTCATGAGTCTACCGCTCACCTCAAGGGAATGGGGTCCCACGTTGTGCGGCTTTCGGCCGCAGCCTTGAGAGTCTCCTCAGATCCTCCCGCCAGCTACCACCCGCATGAGGTCGACACATATGCTCCACCAACCAATACAACGGCAGATATAGCCAAAAGGCAGTTATAAGATAAGAGTAATAATTCGCCATCAGAAAGGGTTTGTGTCACTGACGTTGAGTAAATGCATTTTCGATCATGTTTGTCTCACCCACCGACAAGTTGCCTTCAATCATTCAAAGGTGGGAAAGTTACAGAGATATAATATTACGTTGTTATATAAAACATCGTGGAGGGCAGACAGTCTGCAGCCCCGCAATGAAGGGACCCGACTTGGGCAAAGCTACTTAGGTGTGAGTCAAACCAAGACGCAGAGAGCGCCATTGAGAATAGCGTCCCACCAAACAACCATCGCAGAGACGCAATGCTGCAGAACGCAACAAGCATCAATACGACTATCGTCGGGCTTACACCATCCCAAGGTCCCCCATACATCCCAGCAGACATCACCACCCGCATACCTCCATCGACCAGAACCACAAGAGAGCGTCGAATCAGGCGCAGCACACCCGCAGATCCATCACAAGACGCAATACCGCAAGTAGCAGTAAGCATCAATGCAACTATCATACGGGTGGCGCCCCCTCACAACACACCCACATGACTCTTATCGACTTTGGTAACAAAGTTGGTATTGTTGTTATATAAAAAATATCACCAACGTATCATAGTAGCACGCTACTAAGACGCCAATGAACAAAACTCCACGTATCATAGCGCTAATGCACTAAGACATGTAGTTGAGTATGCCTGTTACACTTAAAAGTACTACCAAACACACTCATCATCCCAATCCGAAAGATAGACGACACATCGCTATGCGCAACGACGTCGCCCACAAACGGTATGGGTGTGCGATGTCCACGGGAAAGCCGTATTGCTACAACAAACCCGCTTACCACCAGCACTAAGATGTTAATTGTATACCTCCATCGACCAGAACCACAAGAATGCGTCGAATCAGGCGCAGCACACCCGCAGATCCATCACAAGACGCAATACCGCAAGTAGCAGTAAGCATCAACGCAACTATCATACGGGTGGCGCCCCCTCACAACACACCCACATGACTCCTATCGACTTTGGTAACAAAGTTTGTATTGTTGTTATATAAAAAATATCACCAACGTATCATAGTAGCACGCTACTAAGACGCCAATGAACAAAACTCCACGTATCATAGCGCTAATGCACTAAGACATGAAGTTGAGTATGCCTGTTACACTTAAAAGTGCTACCAAACACACTCATCATCCCAATCCGAAAGATAGACGACACATCGCTATGCGCAACGACGTCGCCCACAAACGGTATGGGTGTGCGATGTCCACGGGAAAGCCGTATTGCTACAACAAACCCGCTTACCACCAGCACTAAGTGTTAATTGTATACCTCCATCGACCAGAACCACAAGAATGCGTCGAATCAGGCGCAGCACACCCGCAGATCCATCACAAGACGCAATACCGCAAGTAGCAGTAAGCATCAACGCAACTATCATACGGGTGGCGCCCCCTCACAACACACCCACATGACCCCTATCGACTTCGGCAACAAAGTTTTTATTGTTGTTATATAAAAAATATCACCAACGTATCATAGTAGCACGCTACTAAGACGCCAATGAACAAAACTCCACGTATCATAGCGCTAATGCACTAAGACATGAAGTTGAGTATGCCTGTTACACTTAAAAGTGCTACCAAACACACTCATCATCCCAATCCGAAAGATAGACGACACATCGCTATGCGCAACGACGTCGCCCACAAACGGTATGGGTGTGCGATGTCCACGGGAAAGCCGTATTGCTACAACAAACCGCTTACCACCAGCACTAAGATGTTAATTGTATACCTCCATCGACCAGAACCACAAGAATGCGTCGAATCAGGCGCAGCACACCCGCAGATCCATCACAAGACGCAATACCGCAAGTAGCAGTAAGCATCAACGCAACTATCATACGGGTGGCGCCCCCCTCACAACACACCCACATGACTCCTATCGATTTCGGTAACAAAGTTGGTATTGTTGTTATATAAAAAATATCACCAACGTATCATAGTAGCACACTACTAAGACGCCAATGAACAAAACTCCACGTATCATAGCGCTAATGCACTAAGACATGAAGTTGAGTATGCCTGTTACACTTAAAAGTGCTACCAAACACACTCATCTTCCCAATCCGAAAGATAGACGACGCATCGCTATGCGCTACGACGCCGCCCACAAACGGTATGGGTGTGCGATGTCCACGGGAAAGCCGTATTGCTACAACAAACCCGCTTACCACCGGCACTAAGATGATATGTCTAGGACACATCGGTTAGCGAGTCCAAGTTTACCTCGGACCAATTGCTCGTGAAGCAGCACACACGCCACCATAATATTCCTTTTCAAGTCCCTAATAAGGACTAGTCATTTTGCTACAGTACTAGGAGCAGTCGGTCACCCGACCACCCCATACAATGCTTATGCATCAAGGAGACCTTCAATAATAATGCTTTTGTATCATAGACCTTACTTTCATAAGTCATTCATATATAGGGTTCGAACCCACGACCCTACTATTGTAATGCATATTAATCATAGAGACCTTCTATAGTATTGCTTTTGTATCATAGACCTTACTTTCATAAGTCATTAATATATAGGGTTCGAACCCACGACCCTACTATTGTAATACAAATTCATCATGGAGACCTTCTATAGTATTGCTTTTGTATCATTGAGTTTAATATCATAAGTCCCTAATATAGGACTAGTCATTGTGCTACAGTACTTCAGGCAGTCGGGCTCCCGACCACCCCATATATATGTACAACTGCAGGTATGTACCTCCGACAGCTTCCTCCATACAAGACATCTATACGTGAACACCTTCCATAACTTAGGAAAATTTTCTTTAATACATGAACTCCTTCAACAACTTAGGAAATTTCATCTATACGTGAACTCCTTCCACAACTTAGAAAAATTTTCTTTTATACACGAACACCTCCCATGACTTAAACAATTTTTAACAAATTTTCTAATTATCTTATAAACGTTATTTAACTTAATTTTATAATATTTTTTGACTTGTATTTCTATTATTTATCTTATTTTAAATATTTTTTCAAGTTTTTAAATAAATTTATTTATTACGAAAAACAATAATTTTGCCTTTAATTTACTATGTTATTGGGATAATGTCTGAAATATATTAACTTTATGTTTATTAATTTAACTTAATTGCTTAATATATATCTTTTAAGACTATTTTTGACGCCCCTTTATATTGAATTTAATTATTAATAATAATATTGGGCCGTCACAACAGGTACACTTTCTATTCCCTCACTCTCATAATCCGATGGGACGGTAAAATGACACGAGCAGAGAGAGAGAGAGAGAGAGATCAGGCGCAGGATCAACGGCTTTACGTGCTTTCCGAGGTACGGGGGTGAAACACCGTCAACTTCCTGACTCCGGGCAGCTACTGAGGAGCTTTGTCTTGACGTAAAAACTCAATAATTTATTTTTGGTCCGACTTGCGTTTCGAACTCAGGACCTCATGATCAGCAATCTCACTACTACAACCACTAGACCAACGAGCCAGTACCTATAAGTTGTGTTTTACGCTTGTATACTGTAAGAGCGTGGTTCTTCTCCGCTTGGACCGTGCTGCAACCATATTACTCTGCAGCACGACCCTACCACGCCATTTTTTTTTCACTATGCCCACCGAGACCATATACTTTGCTTTCGAGAACCTTTCTTCCTCATCGGTGATTGGTTCTTCGATCTATAGCGGACTCATTCAACTTACTAATTTCTTACGCTATGTCGTTGCACATACTCTGGTCCTTCTCCGGGTTCCCATCCACAGCTCGCTGATTGACCTAGAACGTCGAACCGGAAAGCAGTGAAGGACCATATCTTAGATCCATATGTCATTACTAGCAACATGCATTAGTTCCACACTCAAGTTATAAGTAATCTCCCATACGCTACTCAGCCGAGTTGGATCTGTCAATTGTCCTCACAGTCAAAGTTAGACTTACTTAGGCGGAAAATTTTTCCTAGGTAAACGTACTCGACAAAAACTTTGACCAAAGCTGTTTTCGAGTACGTTTGCCGTACTAAATTACGTGAGAATCATCGAAAATATACGAGTACAAGAAGCCAAAGCGTATCGACGCACACAGCTTTAGACAACTTTTATCTTTTACTTAAACTCCAAGAACATAACAAACAACGTAATCTCAGAAAACATAATAATATAGCGAGCGCTTCCCTAAACTTCCGGTGAATAAATACACCGTGTGCCTTGAGTCTGTGGCAAGTTCCGCCGAGCATTTTTCCACGCATCGCGGATTTTTGTACTTTACGAACATTACGTATATTTTTATATTACCTATAAAACGCCAAGGTTGTGTAAGGAAGGAACAATTATAGTCATGAATGCTGAATGAAAGAGCTGAATCTTTGATGGCGTATCTGATGACTAAGTAGCCAAGGATGTGTTAGATTGGTATAGTGGCGAAATCACCGCGATAGAAAATTTCATAGGCTTTACACAAAGTATATTTCCGACAGTAACTTATGAGACATTCTTATACTATAAACAGAAATGTGTGATTATGTTGCGACTAATATTAATGAGTGTATAAATTTAAATCATAAATATAAATCATTGTATAATATAATGTAATATTGATATGTCCACTTGTTCGCTATGTATTGTTGTTATGTATTTGTATAATTTCTTTTCTACATCATCATTTCTCATAATTTTTTAAAGAATTATAGATATGAGTACATTTGAAAAAACATTCGGAATATTATAGTAAATTTAGGTCGAATATTGTAATATTGATCCTCACATGGAACTTAGGTAAATTACCCGTATATTTATTGCGAATTTCATTATACTTTAAATAGTCTCCAAATTGTCTTTGAAAAAATCGTCTGAGGAAACTAACACCACTGTAATATCTAACACCGATGTGATTACATTTTTAACGATTTTTTTTACTGAGTTAAATAAAAATTCTATATTCGACCCTATGTTTTTATGTGTTTGTCGATTTCTGGGAAACGGTTGAACCAGTGAAAAGCTGATTTTTTGTAAATGGATTGTACTTCACGTGTAACCCCATATAAATTTGGAGAAAAAGTTCCATCCTTAAAAGGTGGAAAAATAAGGGATGAAATTTTAATGTAAATATTTAGATGACATTCTACTGTTACCTTGTACGTGAGATATTCCTTAGTACACTCAAGAGAGTAAAAAATGTATGTCCTTAATAAAAGTACAGACCGACTACAATAACTGAAAATAATAAAATAATTCCCACATAATAGCTTCTGTACACTTTCCTAGCAATTTAATTAAAGTTTAATTTTCTAGTATGGCTCGTCGTGAAGAAATAACAAACATTTACTTATTACGCTAACAATCACAGAGTACGAGGTCTTTGTATTAGTTCTTATACTATTATTTATTCTGTGCTTAGGTTTACTTTTATAAAAATTACAGAAAGAGCTTAATCGTGGCTTGATCGATACCAACAATTTTTAGTTCAAGTCGAAGTTAATTTCCAATATTTAAGTAACTTGTCCACAAAATTCATTTTATAAAAAAACATTTTGTATAACTGAGTTTCACTTGACATTTGCGGTGAGTTTCGTCGAAGTTCGTAAATACTACGAGCTTATCTGATAACTTTGATGAAAGGTCAATAAAATTATTGGTGGTCGAGAGCACACTAATTACTCAAATACAGGTTTGGGATCGGACAGTTATTAAATTGATATTGTTTAAACATTTAAACAATAGTAGTGATATATTTATATTTGAAGTTGTAGTTTGGCGACGACCTGAAAGATATGCAGAAATTCGATGGGAGCAGGTGGCTAGGTACCGTGCTTGAAGGACTGCTGAACATAGGCCCCTTTGAGTAATGCCACACATTTCTTGGGGGAGGCCTATGTTCAACAGTTGACTTGGAGGTTTGTGAAGGGCTGTAATGAGTGATTAAATGATTATTATTTTAAAAGGCGAGGGTAACAAACGAGCACACAGTCCACCTGATGGTAAGTGGTTGCTGTGGCCCATAGACATCTACATCTATCCTTGATTACGAATCGAAATGCAGATGCGTTGTCACCCGTGAGAAAAGATGGAATGCGTCGTTTTCAGTAAAAAGGGTCTCCGGTTCTTTACACTCACCATACGAAACACAGCAGCATTAAGCTACTATTTTACGCTGGTATTCTTTGAGAGCGTGGTCCTTCCCCGGCCGAGCCGACCCATTTGTGCTACAACTATACTACTAATATAACTGCAGCATGACTCTACCACGTACAAAATAAAAAATGAGGATAAAGATATATTAACCTTTTATTACATTAAACTTTTATTAATGATCCACACAAAAACAAATGTGAAAAGGGGCCAAGTTCGTTTCAAACGACCTTAAAGAGTTAAGACATGAACAGACCCGAAGATCCATAGCAGTTGCTTAAATCATGGGATCGAACAGAATGTACAATGTTCTTGTATGATTTATCTTGACGATTATATTATCATGCGACACAAGGACTAGCAAATTTATTATGATGCGAAGCGGGAACCAATTTTTAATTTATTATCTGTGTCTAAGTATTCTAGAGTATGTTAATTAAGTCCTCATTTTAGTTTTCTCTTTAATTAAAGCAATTAATGTAATACGAGTAAAATTAAGTTTTCGTCCCGGTCGACCGAACTCTGCCCTTCATCACATCATGCCTGAAGAATTGCTTGAACGTAGTTAATTAGTCATCGTTCCAATTATTGCTTTTGTTGCTGTAAATTAATTACACCAGATATAAATACATACAGTATGTAATGTACACAATGTTAATTAATAATAAATTCATAAAATAAACATGTATGTAGGTAACATTAACGCCTGTCACCCAGATGGATAGGCAGAGACTACGGACTTTTACCATTTATGAATATTTTACATCTGGTATAAGTCTTTCTGGCCTTGACCTTATTTGGCTGTTACGACACCCACAGGATGAAATGGGTTGTAGGGTGGGTTCTCTTTTGCCGCTACCACATGGAAATGTAATTTTACGCTTGCGAGTTCCCAAGAAAACAGTACCTCCCTATTACTTATAGTGTCACTAAATGTTAACAATTATATTTTCTTTATAAGGATGAACAGTATGGTTGCAACATTATTTATTCTGAAGAGTGCACCGTAATCGGGTGTGGTTAGCATTTTGACACACGCTATATCACATAAGAAAATGATTAGGTTTTATTAGGATTGAATGAGAACTGTTTATTAAAATATGATGCAGAAGTGAGTGGCAGAGTCGGTAACAGACACTCTAGGCGGAAGTCCTTCGACCAAATTGGCAATATATTGAACATGGGCTAAATTTGGAGATTCCTTTAACCGACTAGTATGTTTGCGTAAATATATAGACGTGAAAGAAGCGCGAGAAGAGTGTCAGGATCGTGTCAAATAAAAGATTGTAGTCTCTGCCTACCCCTCTGGGTGATAGGCGTGAGTGTTTATGTGTGTAAGTTAATATACGCGACAAAATCTGTAAAACTTAGTTTTATTTACAGGCCGATGATGAAGAAATAATATTTACTAAAGGAAAAATCGTGTGTTCCAGACTGGTGGTGTCACAAAACCAGCGCGCCCTCCACATTGTGTTCCCGCACCACTTCTTAGATTCGCCTGAGTGGTTCGGCGTCTCTACCGACGAGTATTTTCAGGTAACATTTATTACGTACTAGCTTCGCCTGGGTACGATCTGTTAATTTGTCGCTATGTAGATCTAAGATAATGATCATAGACCATTTTATTTTATTAATTTTTCCATTACTCAAAAAAAGTTCTTTCGGATAGAATATGGCCTAGATCAGGGATGGCGAACCAATGGTACGGGTGCCATCGATGGCACGCGACACAATATTTTGGGCATGTCACCGATCACAAAGTTCACTATGATTATATTACGAACGAACGAGTGGTTGTAGTTCGTGGACTACCTGATCCTGAAAAACCTCTCTCGCCTCCTCCATATGCTTATACCTACGCATACATGCTCGTTGGTTAAGGGTACTCTTAATTTGGCCCATTTTCAGTGACATTAGCCTAATGGTAGGGTGTGGACCGCGAACTCAAAAAGTCGTGGGTTCGAATCCGTCCGTCCGTCGTGAACCACTTCTAACACAAGCATTTTAAGCTTACCAGGAGTGATTAAAGGGAATATTAGTAAATTAATAACATTGCTAGTATTTCAAAAAAAAATCGCCAATTTGGTCGATAAACTTTCGCTTAGGGCGTCTCTTCCCAACTCTGTCGTTCACTTCTGCATAAATTTGCTTTGTCACTCTTTCCTCGTTCATTCTTTCTACATGACCAAACCACCGAAGCTTGCCTTTCTTAATCCTTGTCACATCATCTTGTAAACTACACTCTTTGTTATACAAAATTTCTCACCCAAATGATTTCATAAATTTACGCGAACATTTCTCACCCTGTTATTCAGATTCAGTTCCTTCGTTTTATCGTTATATAATATATATTCGTTATATCAATACACTAAAAAACCTACATATGGTGGTGCTGGTGACCACCCACAATACAGATATAGCATCCGTCAGCATAATCAGCATAAATATATTAACGCAAAGTATGAAGTAATTTAAGTAGACTATAAGCGGATTTAAAAAAAAGAAAGATCAGAATAAATTCTCATCTGTCTCTGTGAACACGTATTTGGTACCTTGTTGTGGATAAACCGATACATTTGAATTATATCTGACTTAGTTCATAAGATAGTTAACATTTCTATGAAAAATAACATGTAAAATTTAATTAGCCTTTTACAATTCCAATTAAGGCAGTATCTTTCCTCTGAAACAGAAGTTTACAAAATTATGGATAGAAATAAACTACTGCCGTTAGCTACCATAGCTAAGGTTGTTGTAAATTTTACAGTTAGTCGTAAATTTTACAGTATCCAAGTACCACAAGCAGTAGTATCAATGAATTAGTTAGTTGCAATTTCAAATGCTAAATTACAGCGTGCTCATTAACGACTTAGTCGCCTTTAAGAAAAGAGCCTACTCCCTCCAAGTCCATCAGGAGAAACCCCCCTCTTGTATAAAAAGTAAAAGAGAACATCGTGAGGAAACCCGTAATTCTGAGAAAAAATAATGGAAAAAGACATGTGAAGTCTGTCAACGTGCATTGGAGCAGTATGTCGCACTTATTACTCCATGACCCTCAGAAATGATGTCAGGCCTATACTCATTAATGTGAAGTATAGGCTCAAAATTTACTTTCAATACACTCCCTAAATTTCATTTGTTCCAAAGAACAAATATCAATTTCATCATCATTATCATCATCATTATTGCAGCCTTTTACAAGTCCACTGCGATACGTAGACTAAAAGAATTTTTTCATCACCTCATGATTTATTAATGGCATTAATGCCAATTTCGATCTAATATTCAGTTCACCGTTAGGTGACGACTTAAATCACTACTCCATTTAGTCTCCTTGCTGTAGTCCGACTATGGGCAATGCTAGAATAATCTTAGGGACTTCGATAGCCATTAGTAACACCATCGAATACAATATTAGCTTTGTCTTAGAGCCACGCTGCAGCTCTATTATGGTTGTAGCACGAATGGGTCGGCTCGACCGCGGAAAATAGCAGCTTAATACTGCTGTGTTTCGTATGGTGAGTGTAGAGATCCGGAGACCCTTTTTACTGGAAACGAGGCATTCCATCTTAGTCCTCAGGGGTGACAACGCATCTGCGTTTTGATTCTTAATCGAGGATAAATGTAGATGTCTATGGACCACAGCATCCACTTACCATCAGGTGGACTGTGTGCTCGTTTGTCACCCTTATTCTATTTAAAAAAAAAACTGCTGTTATCCAAATACTTGGCAAGCGCGTCAATAATGACAAATATTTCTTACAATGGGAGGCGTCCAGCATTCGTATCAGATTGATAGAACTGATATGAAGATGAACAATTCGTTTTTACTCTAAACTATACTTTCTTAGTGAATTTGTATCGAGGAAGATCACTAAAAATACTACTTTCATCTAAAGTATCTTTTGCATCACTTCCAGGTGTCAATTATGGCGATGGAGGAGTCCCGCGTGCTGGTGTGGCATCGGGACAAACTGAAGCTGTCCATCATGTCTGACGGCTTCTTGCAGGCAGTGTTCGATCATATACTAGGCCGGGACGTCGTTCACAAGCTTATGCAGGTCAGTTAGATATAAAAAATCCTTTATGCATACATAGTATATACATACATAGTAGTACCTCGCTGCAACGTATGTCAAATCGACTAATGAAGGTCTACGCTCGCAAAGAATACCAGCATAAAATTGTAGCATAATGCTGTGAAATACAGAATAAATAAATTAAATTAACTCCATCTTCATTCACTGTCAATGTCATTAGGTTTGACGACACATCCGCATTTAGATTATTCATTTTAATCAAGTATAGGTGCAGGTGTCACCCATAAGTCACGAAATCCATTTACTATCACATGGGTACTGTATGTTCGATTGCACGTGTAGTTTTATTTTAAAAAAAGGATTTTATTTTAAATAAAAGGTGGACAGTAAATTGGTTTGCCAGTTCAATTCTATAAAAAAATATAACTAGGTGGGATTTGGGTAAAACATCTGACCGAATAAAGCCGGTCTTGACCGTAATTTTAAGAGCCAAGATTGGACTTCGCCCGGATTTCAATACATACTGCATTCTTTACATGCCGACTGAACTTATGTATACGTAGTTCTACACGTTCACGCAAGTGAATACTTCAAACTCATTAAAAGAATTTGATTGTAAAATTTATGGAGAAAACGATTTTTTGAAAGCTGTTGTGCTAATGGCCTTAAATATAAATAGTAATTTATGTATATTTAATAAGAAAATGAATCGTACAATTACATCGAAATAATACTAGTTTTTACGGAATTTATCGCGTATATTTAACTTTTTAAATACCCGACGTTTCGAACGCTTTACAGCACTCATGGTCACGGGCAGGACTGAGATGTTCAACGTCCATATGTCATAGTTAACCGCGGTTACCATAGATTAAAATTTAACTTTTGTTCCGATCTATGCAGTATGAACTTAAGGTATCTTGAAGTCTTGCAGTTGTATGCTTGGGTTGGGATTTAATTTTATTTATTATAGGATCCCAAGCAGATGGTAGCACCCAGCCATCTTCTCTATTGAAATTAGGATGTTTTTTGATTTCAATAGCCTCGCGAATCATCCTTGGAAGGAATCGGTGTTCTTTAGCGAGGGTCTGCGGTCTATCAAATCTGATGTAGTGACGGGGGCGATCCTGTACGTGTTCACAGACTGCAGACTTCCCGGAGTGTCGATTCTTCACATCAGCTATATGTTCTTTAACGCGGGTTTTTATTGATCTTTTAGTTTGTCCTATGTAGGAGAGACCACATTCACAATCAAGCTTGTACACTCCTGCATCTTGCAGAGGGACATTACACTTGACCGATGGTAAAGAAATCATTACGTACAATTACAATCTATTGAGTTTTATTACCGATATGCCAGCTAAAGACCGAACCTTATTCCAAAAATCAGATTTTTAATAACTTGCAACGGGATCCCACCAGAGGCTGGTAACACTGGGTGGAAAAGCATTCAAACACTGGCTTTTAATAGAAATTATACGGATTGCCAAAGACATTATACAATAAACTTACTTTTATACACTGTTAAACAAATCTCAGATAAGATATAATTGTTAATTTAGTCAATTCATCCTTTATTCAGATAATATCCTCTGAGCATATATTTCGTATGCTTTGCATATACGCAAAACAATGTTATCACTGTATATAAAGTACGACCTTCGTTTATATGGCCGCTTAAATTGCAAATTCAATTTGTATTAACTTACTAATAAATTCGTAAGGTTGTTTTGTAATGGTGTAGGTATTATTTAACCTTCGCAAGTAGCTCTCTGCAGAGAGCAACTACAGCTACAGTACGATTATATAACTCTGGTAGTAACGTTTGCCGATGGGAATCACTCCACAACTTTGTTATGTTTTATATCTTCTTCTTATCAACAGCGCCATCTACCGGGTGCACTGGCCGCTTTAATGCCCTATGAAAAAAAATTTCATCAAATTCGGTCATGCCATTTAAGAGGGGAAGAGTTACGAACGCACGCACACCTTAATCTCTACATAGTATAATATAAAGGCGCTTCCCGCCGTCTGTACTCTTAGATCTTTTAAACTATGCAACGAATTTTGATTCTGTTTTTGTCAATAGACAGATTAATTCAAGAGGAAAGTTTATATGTGTTATATATGCATATGTTGTCGAATTCCAAAAAACACCCGTGCGAAGCCGGCGCGGTAGCTGGTAGTTGCTGCCGCAGAAGAAATATTTGTGGAAATCGTTTTATATTTGGAAGAGATATTTGAATAAAACTATTATTTACGGATTTTATCGCGTTTTAATTACAACTTTAATTTATTTTTATTATCCCGACTTTTCGGGTGCTTTATAGCACCCATGGTCACGGGGGGGACTGAGATGTCCACGACGGCCCTAGCCCAACTTACTGACGATGTACTAACCGCTCAAGATGAAGGAAAGGGCACAATACTAGTATTACTAGATTTTTCTCGTGCATTTGACTGTATAAATGTTTCCCTTTTCTTATCAAAGCTTCATTACTATGGATTCAGTAGCAGCGCAGTTGGTTCGATAGTTATTTTAAAAACCGACTACAAACTGTAGAACTGAGCGATGACCGAGGAACATTAATACGTTCGCAATCAAAAAAAAATCAAAGCCGGTGCGCCCCAGGGATCGAACCTGGCTCCAATATTGTTTTCAGTTTACAGTGCCGACTTAGTAAAAAACATTAAGCACTGTAAATTTCATTTATACGCAGATGATTTGCAAGTCTACATGTCATGTAATCCGCGTGATACTCAAGAAGTCGTTAATAAAATCAACGAAGACCTCGAAAGTATAGCCGCGTGGTGCGACTCAAACTGCCTTGTACTAAACGGAACTAAATCTAAACTACTAATTATGGGTTCTAAAAATCAAATAAAAAATTTATCAGAAAGAGGGGCATGCATCCAAATTCGAGGGGAAATCGTAGAACGTGTAAATGAGATTCGCAATCTGGGCTTACTAATGGATGACAAACTACAGTTTGAGAACCACATACTAAGTACTAGCAGAAACTGCTTTTATAGACTTAAGGTTCTTTATCAAATAAGGGAGTTTTTAAATTCAAAAAATTCAAAATTGAAAGTCGTTTCGAAATTTAATTATATGGACATTGTATATGGCCCGAGACTTTTAGCGCGGTCGCGACGTCTAGTGCAACGTTTTCAACGTGTTGCATGTGCAAGATTAAGTTTTACAATACCGCCCCATGCGCACGTCACCCCTTACATTAACAATGCTAAAATGTTAAAAATGGAATATCGCCGAAAACTGCACATGGCAACTCTCCTATTTGGGGTATTAAAAAATAAAACACCTCCTTATCTTGCTGACAAACTCATATGGTCACGTGATGAATACGCGCACTAGAGGGAATACTCTCGTCGTGCCGCGTCACCGCACTCACGCTTTCCGAGGAAGTTTCAAATACGCCGCATCCAAGTGCTGGAACGATATACCGCCTCCTTTGCGAAATCTGAAAGCAGTACACACATTTAAAAATAAATATACTTTGATCAAAGTTTATAACGCTTTGCACGATTACGTACCTCATCGTCATAGATTATTAACAACGGAGCATTAAAATCGTCCACTTGAGTGCGGCTTTTGTCTTCTTATATACTTTTATATTCTTCAATAATTACATAGTGTAGTATATAGCCCTTTATAGTATTTTAATAATCTCCCCTTTTGTAGTGTTCGTATAGACCTTCTAAGAGCATCTGAAATCAACATAAACGGGATGTGCTGTGTCGAAGTGGCATTATACCTTGAACGCTACTCTCTCCCTCTCACTTAAAATAGTTACTGTCTCTTTCCCCCTTGTTGTGCATAATTCTGTCATCATAATTTTGTTTAAAACATAATAAAATGAGTATACATATAGTACTGATTTCGGTAGGTCAATGGTTGGACACACTGAAAATCAGCGCCATGGAAAAAAAAATTCATGGCATTATGCTGAGTGTGCTCCTGTTCCCAGATGACGCCTTGACACGGGCCTTCGCACGGGTGTTTTTTGGAATTCGACAACATATGCATATATAACACATATAAACTTTCCTCTTGAATTAATCTGTCTATTGATGAAAACAGAATCAAAATTCGTTGCGTAGTTTAAAAGATCTAAGAGTACAGACGGCGGGAAGCGACTTTATATTATACTATGTAGAGATTAAGGTGTGCGTGAGTTTTATTCAATGTGTAGTGTTCGCTTGCACATCCATGTTCGCGTAAATTAAAGAAATCATTATGAAAGAGATATTGTTTAATTAGGAATGATAATACATTTATTGAAATTGATAGATATTATATAACTTATAAATAAATTTGTGGGTGCGACACATGCGCCATCTACTGTAAGTTGATTGTACAATGCCTATAACTTTCGCACAAGTGCAAGCAATATGTTGACAAAATTTTAGCCCAATCTGATGAACGTTATGGCTGCGCATAAAATACGAACAAACAAACATTATTTTTTATATATTACTAGCGATCTGCCCCGGCTTCGCACGGTTGATATTTGGATTCTACAACAGCGCCATCTACCGGGTCTAACTACGCCTATAACCTTCGCGGAACTGCAAGCAATATGTTGACAAAGTTTTAATGCAATCTGATGAATGGTATTGCAGCGCATAAAATACGAACAAATATTAATATTTATATATTACATTAGAATAATGAGATTACTATTGTTATGTCACATGATTTAACGTAAATTTCAATTTATAGCGTTAACGCTTTTAGAAAGTAGCTTGGTTATCACTGAAGGGATTTAACTGTTAGTCTCAACGCACATCCTATTCTATTATTCTTTGATTTCTCATAGATAGATGTAAATATTTCACAGTTTTTTTTTTTATAAAATAAGGGTGACAAACGAGTACACAGTCCACCTGATGGTAAGCGGATGCTGTAGACCATAGACATCTTCATCTATCTCGAAGCTAGATAATCACTTACCATCAAGTGAGTTGGGTTCTCAATTCTCGCTTTGTAACAACGCATCTAAATGACTAAAATAACTAAATAATTTGGTACCAATTTTTTTACATAGCCTAATATATGTATAATATCATCAACCCTATATAATAGTATGTATAACAGACAGTTATATCTGTCAAGGGCCATGAAGTATTTTTGACCTTACACCCAGGGGGCAAAATGGGATGGTAGATTCTCTTACTGCTTACACCACCGTAAAATCGATATTATAAACGCCGTGAAGTAGTATTGTAAGAATATCCAATACCAGATACGATCCCACGTAAAAAATTACGGTTGTCAACCCGGCTACTAAGCTATGCAAATATCCCCTATGAGGCGAACTATGAAGAAGACCAGTACTCAGCGTTGGACGTTTGATAGGCTGTAATGATAGAATGAATGATGAACAATCGATATGTATTTTTTTTTAAATACTCCATTGCTCTGACCAAAGGTCGAACTTAATGCCAGTTAGCATTCTCTGCCAGTTAACTATCATTGCAGCCCTTCACAAGTCTACTACTGAACATAGGCATTCCCCCAAGGAATGCTACAAAGCACGGTCCTGAGCTACCTGCATCCATGGATTTCCTCCATGTCTTACCAGGTCGTCGCTCCATCTAGTGGCGGGGGACCTACACTTCGTCTGCCGGTACGAGGCTGCCACTCGAGAATCTTTCTGCTCCATCGGTTGTCGGTTCTTCGAGATATTTCTTTTATATGAGAGAGGGCAAACGAGCGTACGTTTCACCTGATGTTAAGTTATTACCTCCGCCCATGAACACTGCAACACTAGAGGGATTGCTGATGCGTTGCTGGCCTTTTAAATTAATTGCCACTTCAGCTTACTAATCCGTTAGGCTATGTCAGTCACTCTGGTTCTATTGCGGATGTCCTCATTCCTAAGTTTATCACGCAGAGAAACCCCGAGCATAGCCCTCTCCCCGCTGAGCGACTTTGAGCTTCCTCATACAGCCTGCAGTGAAGAACCACATCTCAGATCATCACTGGCAATCCAGCCAGTCAACTAATATTGACTCAAATAACTATCTATAATAAACATAAATGGATATAAAATATATTAAATAGTGCTTATAAATTACACAAATACATAATAATATGGTATTTATGTTTCACAAGGAGTTTTCTTCCGCGTACGACCTGTCTGTGTAATAGTTTACCACCGACGATTTCTCCGGACCGATACGACCTGGGGACCTTCAAGAAAAGAGCTTACTTCTTTCTAAAGAGCCGGCAACGCACCTGCAATTCCCCTGGTGTTGCAGATGTTCATGGGCAGCGGTAATCACTTAACATCAGGTGAACCGTGTGCTCGTTTGCACCCTCATCTATAAAAAAATCCTTGATACTAATTATCCTTAACACACATATATACATATTATACTTATAAATACAAATATACATACATAATATATCCGGATAAAGGTGACAGTACTAATTTATGTTATATAGACGATGTTGTGCTTGTTATTGATATTGTTGTCCACTTAACCCCATCACCACTTTACACTTTGCAGGTGAGCGAAACGATGGCGGTGAGCAACGGTCACCTGCCGAACAGTTACGAGGAGGGCGAGGACAAGCCCATGCTGGTGGTGAAGAAGGCCGGAGATGGACCTGGCATCACCGCGCTGCTTAACAGACAGTTACAGGGTGAGTATTTAATAACGACTTGGATCGATTATAGATAAGTTTGATGCTGGGTTAACGGTGAGATGCAACTAAGAATTTTGTAGCACATTAACAAATTCACAGACCACACATCCACGATGTTATGCTCAAGAAGCTAGCTATAAACTCCAGTTAGTAATGAGTAGCTAAGTCATCGTAAATTAAATAGTTTAAAAAAAGGAAACATACAATCGAAGCATCGCGCATGTAATTCCCGAGGGGGTAGGCAGAGTCCAAAGAGCAGCAAGCTACTCGAAGAAGTTAGAACAATTATGGGTATAGATGGAAAATTGTAAAATAAGTGATTGGTAGTTCATTGCCTACGCAATCACAAATCTACTATTTTAAGTGCCTTATTTTAAATATTTCCGACAAGTAATCAATCACCATAAACAGAAATATATATAAATACGTTACAGTTTTTGTGACATAGATTAGTAATAAGTTTCGTAATTTAACATAGCATCGTGGACGCCGGGCTTTTAGCCATTGATTGATACTTTTTCGACAGTTCGTATAATTCCTAACTACATACTTTAACGACATAAAATTATATATGAAAAATAAGCATCGCAATAACGGTATTATTAGATTGTAATCTACGTCTAAGTGTTATATTGATATATCGTTATTATATCTATTTATCTTGATCCTTATCTGTCAAAAATAGATCAATCATTGACTTTAAAACCTTATTCCAGATAGAGTTAGAGTGGCAGAGTATGAAAGTAAAGAAGTAAAGTAAATGTTAGGTGTAAATACGGTGGCGGGGTGCTTGATATGGGGTTTAATGTGAAACCGTCTTGTGTTAAGTTTGATGTCGTGTGTAGCATTAGCATCTATGTAGGCATGTGAGAGTTTTCGGTTTTCGATCTGGCGGATCTAGTTATTCAGATCTGGTAAATTCACTTCAAAACGAATTGAGTACTCTTATTAATGGTTTTTAAAAACTAAATAGTTTTTTTCTTATTAAATGGATATTTTAGTATTTTAGACTTGAGATTTTTATATTTAATAGTCTATACACATTGCGTATGAAATCTAGTTTTATTAATCGCGAGAAATATAGATGTAATGGATTTCCTTAACTGAACGATTTATAGTTCGTTTGGATGAAGAATTCTACGAGAGAGAATAGATTCATTTGCTTTATGTAACGAAATAATTGTATAAATACTGGAATCAGGTCATATTGGTTCGGTAATGTACTTTCACGTCACATGTAAATTTTAAATAAAACCTACCTTTGTCAAAATCAACGGGTATTAATTAATTGGGGTTGAAACCCAAACCCTTTATAGCAGGACTGTATCACATTATTAATGCTTTCTTAGAATTTCTTGAGATCTTTGGACGCCAAATAGCTAAATATGCAAATTGCATGTGATTGATGTTTCCAAGCTGGTTCTTAAATATGTTTTGTAAGTAGTTTTGTATAATGTGTGTTCTTATTGGTTAATATACTTTGAAAAAGAAAAAGTCCTGATGGTTTTCTTGTTGGTTCTTGAAGGATAGTTTTTCTCCCAGATAATAGTAGAAAAATTATTGTAATCTACACGGTATCAGCTGAACCTACTTCATCAGTTCGCAAAAGTCTGAACTGGACACATAAACCGCTCCGTTTGTTGGGAGGTGTGGGTAATTCTTTCGAATTATTTGTGCTATTGGCGCATTTTCAAAGGCCTCCATGTATTTAGGATAATTGAAAGATTTACGCTTTACACTCTTACCCCCAAAAAAACAAAAAACACACCCCCTTATAAAAAAATTTAAAAAAAAGAAACCCACACCCCCCCCTTTTAATTTTAATTTTAAAATTCCCCCCTATCACCCCTATTTTAATAGAAAATTTATAAAAAAAATATAAAAAAATGGATTAAAAAGACTTAATAAAAATAAAAAAAAACAAACCCCCCCCCCCCCCTACAAAGATAAAGAAAAAGAAGGATAAATCAGTTTTATGGCTTTTTAAATCGGCGTTTGTTTTCTGGTCTGTTGTTGCGAGTACAATATTCCTCTCAATTTCTACGTTTCTTTGCCAACTTTTACAACGCACACATATTATGTGGCGCTAGCTCCGCATATTAAGTATTAGGCGCGTTTTTGAGATACATTTATTCCAATAATTGTTTTTTTTTTTAATATGTGTACATCCAGTATATTGGACGAACCAATCATTCGTTTTATCGCCTGTTAAAGTAAATCACAAACGTGGCGCTAGCACCGCATATACATTCAGTTAGTGTGTTGAATCATAACAAAACAATATACAGGCCAACACTGCTGAACACAAGCCTCCCCCATAGGCACCTCATATGGAGAGATTTTTCACGCAAGGGGGCAAGGAGGTTGGTAACAGAAGAGTCTTTATTACATTGTGCTGTTATCAGGAAAGTGCTGCTGCCAATCTGCTGTTTCAGATTTCCTATGTCACCACAGAAATCGTAATAATAAAACAATAGAAATGAATTAGCGCCCGATTAATCCTAAAACCGATGTCGCCATCTGCAGCCGTATTATGATCATACGCAATGCACAATGATATCTAATGTATCACATTACGTTGCTTGGCGAGTTTGTTTTTTGTTTTAGAACAAAAGCAGCAATGGTAATTGTCAATACAAAAACTAATAAATGAAAGTTACATAGGTGAATATCATAATAAAGTATTCATATAGATTAATCTAGATGTAAATTAGTTAAAACAATGATAATTAGTAAATATCGACTTACCGATTAAATTTTATGCCTTTATTAGTTGAATTACACGTCCTTGATACGTTTTTACTACTTTTTTTTAACTGCAGTTCACCATTATAATATCATAAATTCACGTACGACGTTCCCCGCGCAACTAAATCACAAAATGGTGAATTATGTTTGTCAACACATAATAGCGGCGACAAGGTCACGCGTCTATGCGACTTCTATTGTCTTATTTTTTAATTGTATTATTACGATTTCTGTGTCTGTCACCCTTACGATACGCGCGGAATAATGTTATGGGGTAGTGAATTCTTAAAAAATGAATTATAAAGCATTTTATAATTTTATTTTCCTGAATTTGATAATCCAAAGTTAGACCCGATAAAAAAGAAATTGGTTTCTGCGAGCATTCTCTACCGGTTTATTTATACTTTTGCTACATAAGAGCATTTCCATTTCTACATTTCTTTACTGGCATAATAGCGACCAAAGGCGACAGCTTTATTCGTGTAATTTCCTGATTGCGACTGTCTTAAATACCGTATCCTCATTTTCATATGTTTATTGTTTACCGGCTAAAAATAGTTTCTGGTACATAAAAATTTCTTAAGTTCGTTGGTAATTTCTTAAGTTAACTCTAAATTCAGTTTGAATTTACATCATTCATTTTGTAATTTAGTATAAGAATATAATTAAGGATCGTTATAGAATTAGAAATATTTTTTTGGTCTGTTTAGTAATTTATGCATGCAAATATAGATCGTATGTAAAGGGTGTATAGGGTATAAAACATAAAGGAAACAGCATGTTTAGTTTAACAATACAGTATAATAAAAAGGTTGGATTTTTAATAAGGTGACTCGATGTATTTTGTGCATGATATAAGCCATTAAATCGCCAGGTACATTTTTGATTAACGCTTTAGTAACATAGATTTTATATTCTCTATGATAGCTGTATTTGATAACGCTTTTTCGTAGTAAAATATTATTTTTTGTATGTAATCCAAAAAAGTAGCTTATTAAATATTTTTAATATTTTATTTATACTTATCTATTAAATAACTTCTTGTAAAGGGTAATGAAATTAAATTATTTTATTATTTTTTCGGGTGCAATCACATGCTCATTAAAATTAAATGTTGTATTTTGAAACTACTAAACATTTTATCCGCCATTAGCCTATTATTATCTAACGTAATGTTGATGTTTACAATATCGCAATGTGGTATTTGTAGAGGAACTATGAGTGGTTAGATAAATAGACCTTTTTAGTGGAAAATAAAACACATGACTTCTATTTACACGATTTTCTTAATGAAAAAGCTATATAATCTGTTTGTTACACAATCAATGCATAAAATTTGACGTAATTTCAGAATCGCATCGGTGTTGACTAAATAAAACCAAATTAAAATAGAACTGAGTATAGGCAAAAAGCCTTGGTATCTAACCATTAATAGCAGATAATTAAAAAAAACTTCAGTATGTTTGGGAATATCTTACTATTTTATTATACATATTTGGTAAGCAGCGAGTTTAAATGCACACTAATTTTAAATCCTAACTAAACCTTTGCCTTATTTCATTTTACTAGTATAATACACATCAAAGAATAAAACGTACTGATGTTTTTTTTTTTAATTTAGTCCGGGAATACGTGCAATCTACTTTACTATTGCTGTCCGTAATTTACGAGACCTTCGACTAATCTAATATCGTAACAGCTGCGATACTTTTGATCCACAACATTGTGACTTAATTTTTACAAAAGCAAAACAAAATATTCTTCCACTTTAATGTTATGTTAATCGCTTTACACTACTTTCTCTATCGTCATATTTATAAGAGATTGTACGTTATCCCAAAATTGTGCTGTGCTTGTGCCGTGTCGATGACGTGTCGCTCGTGCAGGCGAACACGCCCCGCTGCTGCTCGCCGCGCCCGCCACGCACCAATGCTGAACATCGAGAGCTCCCCCCATTCCTCCCCCTACAAACCTAAACTTCCACTTGCCTGTCCATCCCCAAAAACGCACATTTTTCACTTATAGTTTTTATTACTTGTGTGAAACTGCAATTTGCTCCTAATATTAAAGCAAAATGTGTTTTAGCATAACACTAAAACAATAATTAAACAAAAATTACTCAATACGTAAAGTACAATACCCGGCGATAAATATTCCACATCGACCTTTGGAAAGAGACAATGGGCTAGTTTCGGCTTCGTAGAGCGTTATCTCTGTCGCACGAAATACAAAAAGTCCGTCAGTCAGTGTGCGACAGACATAACGCTCTATGAAGCCAAAATTAGCCGATTGTCTCTTTCCAAAGGTCGATGTGCAATATTTATCGCCAGGTACTGTATACTACTTTCTACCTCTCAAGATGCACAAAAATATGTAGACTATTAGATCACCATTACTATGTCCCAAGATTGTATGAACATATGCTTTCTAATTTTAATGATATAAGATAATCGAACGACACATATCTGCATCATGTGATATTAGTGCACATACATAAACACTGTCCAGGCTTTTATATGCAAACAAATGCATTGTAAAATATTAATGTAATAAACTAGCGCACGTAATCAACGCACACACGCTATATCTCGTATAACATTTTTGCCCTTTCCTATATCCTTCTTATCAACCCATTGTCTATGGTCACTGTACTTCTAGAGTGTTGCCAATTCTGGAATTTAAGTAACTTATATTTACATCAATTACCATTTCTATATATATAATATAATACAATAGTATAATACAATAGTAATAATATAATAGTATTTTATGCATTATATCTGTATTATTTAAACACTATTAACATATATAATATATATGAACTTGTAAACAATGTGTCATAATAAAAAACAATTTTAGGATTAGGTGTAGAAATAACCTTACTTTGACATTTTAGAAGTATATATTTTCAAATGGTGTTTGCATAATTGGCTTAATATTATTGTAAATATGTATTTTTAAGTAGCTTTAATATTATTTTTGTAAAAATACCGTGGCAAGACGTGACAATTATAGTACATTATGCTATCTGATAATAAACAAGGACTTAAGAATGAAAAGTAATTAGGCAAAGGGATCCAACCACATTTGGATAAAAAGGTTTATGTAACATTAATCTTTAGAATATATATTTTGACACAGTAAAAATAATACAAGCATACGTTTTAATTAATAAAAAGAACACAAAAGTAAAAACAAACCGAAGCAAGCACAACTGGCATTAAATACCTACTGATTCAAACTTCAAGGTAGTTATATCTTACAAGTAACTTTTTAGGGTTTTGGATCTTTTTTTCATAACTATGTCCAGCTGATACACTCTAATTGTAAAAATTATGAAAAGTACAAAATGTAGTATAATGTAATAAATATTAAACATTTGAATAATGGTGTAATATAGTTTTACTTAAACAATTTTGGATCCCAAATGGGCAATCTTATTTAAGTCTTAAGTATTTTGCATGTTTGTTTGTTTAAGTATCATGCCGTCCTAGTCTGCTTATGTTAAACATATATTGTCCCTTTCTAGTTGATTATTCTGCTTGATATAAATATAGCGTAAGTCGAGGTATGTTTTTACCGAAATTTTAAACTTTTTATATTCGTCTTTAAAAAAAAATGATGAAAATTTCAAATTGTTGGATGTTGTACATAAATGTTAAACCTATTTTTGTATGTTTAGAGAAGCTATTAACACTTTGTCTACATAATAATATTGAAACATATATTTTTTTAACTTTGACGGCAGGCGCATGTACCTTGACTTACTCCTGCAATGCTCTAATAACAATAATGACGTGTTACCTTCAATCCTAAGTATTAGTATCTGTTTAGTGTTACTATGAAATCAATTTATATCCTTAAGACCCCTCTCCACCTTGAAATCCATCACTCCCATGTTTCCATCCAGCATGTTTGGACGAGCTACAATTCTCAGGTAATTTTTTGTTCACATTATATTTGTTTGATTCACTCCAACGCACCGTATTATTTTTAAATATAGAACTCTGATTTCAAGGCCGATATTCGTCAGTGACTTTGAAAACAAAAATGACTTTTCTAATTTAATGTTCTAATTTAATTGCCATTTAAATTCCGTTTGTTTTTACGTGAACAAATTATGTCAGTGGTAGAAAAAAAAACGTTCGCTTTTTACTTCAAGAATGTTTAAAAATTCCCTTTGCCACTGCTAACGGTTAAATAAATGTTTTGTGAGCGGTCGAAAAACTTTTTATGAATCATTAATTGAATGGGATGACTTTTCTCACATTAGTTGCTTCGTCGCCACCCTTGTTAGGACTCCGGACTGCAAGTGATTTTAAGATGATATATCGACGTCTGCAGGTGTCAATACACTGCAGGTTTTGGGTCTCAGGGAGTATCCCATTGTACGGAATCTCCTGGCGGTACAACACAGCGTTGTAGTGTAGGTTTAGAGATTTTAAGAATAGGTTTTTAACTAATCTATTGCTGTTGCGCTCTACCCAAACGAGACAACTGCACGAACTGCAACTGAACAGTTGACGAAATCATCATCCTGTAATTCCTCAGTTTCCTTTTCCAAAACTGGTCCAATTATGAATTTTTTCAAGAAAACAGTTTTTTACACTTTCTTATGTTCAATTTATATTAATTTGCTGGATGTTTAATAACGGCGGTATGTATAACTGGGCAGTTTTTAGCAATTTCAGAAGTTTCTAGGTTTCAACATAAGTTATTTGTCACGCGCCGTGTCATCTCGTGTAGGAGAGGCGGCAGAGTAAAATGGAAGAGTAGATTTGCAGCAGCATCTTTCTGATAGTATAACAACTCTAAATAATAAAATTTCATCAAAATCCAAAAGTGCATGCCACAAATTAATGATACAAAAGATTGCTTTACCTCATTTTAACTGGGTTAAGTAGCGCAATAGTTTTCATGTGAGAGAAATTAGTTATGTTATATTGTTTTTGTACATATGTGTGTGCGTGAGTGAGTGCGTGCGTGAATGTGTGCGTGCATGCGTGCGTGAAAGTGTGAGAGCGTGCGTGCATGCGTGAATGTTGGTGCGTGCATGGTGCGTGAAAGTATGCGTGCGTGCGTGAATGTGTGTGTGTGTGTGTGTATGTGTGTGTGTGTGTGTGTGTGTGTGTGTGTGCGTCAATGTGTGAGAGCGTGCTTGCGTGCGTGAATGTGTGAGTGTGTGCGTGCTAGCGTGCATGTGTGAGTGCCTGCATGCGTGAATGTGTGATGAGTGCGTGCGTGCGTGCGTAAATGTGTGAATGCGGCATGCGTGCGTGGTAAATGTGTGAGTGCCTGCATACGTGAATGTGTGAGAGCGTGCTTGCGTGCATGAATGTGAGTGTTTGCATGCTAGCGTGCATGTGTGAGTGCCTGCATGCGTGAATGTGTGTGTGTGTGTGTGTGTGTGCGTGAATGTGTGAACGTGCTTGCTTGCGTGAATGTGTGAGTGTGCGTGCTAGCGTGCATGTGTGAGTGCCTGCATGCGTGAATGTGCGTGCGTGCGTGTGTAAATGTGTGAGTGCGTGCATGCGTGCGTGCCTGCGTGAATGTGTGCGTGCCTGCGTGAATGTGTGCGTGCCTGCGTGAATGTGTGCGTGCCTGCGTGAATGTGTGCGTGCCTGCGTGAATGTGTGCGTATGTGAACGTATGAGTGCGTGCGTGCATGCGTGCATATGTGTGTGTTTATATGTATGTATCTAATTTAATCATGGTATATATATAGGGGTACGGCCACGCGAGTTCAGTGCTTTTTTCCTCATCCCAAAAGTGTCCAACATAAAGGACTTTTCACTTCAAAAATAAAAGCAGACGTGCATCGGATTAATTAAGAATGAGCCGAAATACATGAGACGAATTTAGGAATGCACGTGAAAGAGTAAAAAGGAAACTAATTTTAAGGGTGGCGTCGAAACAGCAAGTGTGCCAATTGTACATCAGATGCCATTAGTTAATGGAATACGTTCTATGGAAACGGTAACTACTTGACAAGTGATTTTTTTAATAATAAGTTTGGCACGCTCCATATAGTCTCGTGTTGGAGAGGCGACAAAGGAAAATAAAACAGTAGACGGGCAGTAGCATCTTCCTGATAACATAACAGCTCATAATAATACAAAAGCGATTGCCTACTTTCCTGCCATGTGTGTCAACGAAGGTAAATATATATATATATGAAACAAGCAATAGGGGAGACATGTTTGAGGAATTATTTCAAACGCTTTAGGAGATTGCTGAAGGCACATTAGAATTGGATAAAAACCCAATGTTAATATTCGAAACAAACTTCAGTTAGGTACTTATTGTATTTTAGGTTTTGAAGCAGACATTAATACCGCGGCTTTATGTTTAAGAGCGAAGTACTTTTGTAGGATTTAACTAAAACCACCAATTAGTTTTTAGGGCACTAAAACTGCTTCAGATATGACAAAGTTTCTAAAGTTTTTCTTTGCGAATTATTGAACATCGAATGTTTATTTAATTAATACATACTTCCCCATAGAATAACTAATAGGTTTGCACCTAATTGCCATATTTGGTACGCTTTGTAGGTTGGTCGCCAACCTCAGCTTTTTATTATTTTGAGTTTTTATCGAAAATGCTGTTGTCCATAGCTTGTTACAGTTGCGTCTTTCGACACCATTAATATTCGAAACAAACTTCAGTTAGGTACTTATTGTATTTTAGGTTTTGAAGCAGACATTAATACCGCGGCTTTATGTTTAAGGGCGAAGTACTTTTGTAGGATTTAACTAAAAACACCAATTAGTTTTTAGGGCACTAAAACTGCTTCAGATATGACAAGTTTCTAAAGTTTTTCTTTGTGAATTATTGAACATCGAATGTTTATTTAATTAATACATACTTCCCCATAGAATAACTAATAGGTTTGCACCTAATTGCCATATTTGGTACGCTTTGTAGGTTGGTCGCCAA